ACTACAACTCCTTAACTGTTCTTTCCGCAGTTTGTCTGTGCAGAAATAACATTCATTTGACTTTTCCTGCTCCACGCTTGTTCAGCAAATTAAACATCAGCTAGATGTCTAATGGATTAACTTCATAAAATAATTGTTTTCTCTCTCTTAAAAATTCCTGTCGTATGTCAGAGATTGCTACAGAAGATTTAAAAATAGGAGTGCGTATTAAAAAGGAGTGCTGAGGTGGCTCAGGCAGCAGAGAGCTCGCTGTGTAAGCATGAGGACCTCAGATCAGATGACCAGCACACATACGAGAAGCCAGGCAGGGTGTCATGTGCCTGGAATCTCAGCAACAGGAGGGCAGCTAAGGCAGGTGGATCCCTGGGGCTTCTTGCCAGCCAGCACAGCATAATTGGTGAACACTAGGTTGCAGTGAGAGACTTTGCCTCAAAAATTTGGAATTCTAATGTGGTATTTGGTTACTCTTTTTATTTGTCTATAACACTGTAACGGTTGATAATCAACACAGTGATGTTTGAGTCATGGCTATGTGAGTAAAATGTACAAAATACATTTAATAAAAACCATGAGCCAGGACTGGTGGCACATGCCTTTAATACAAGCACTAGTAAGGCAGAGGCAGGAGGATCTCTGAGTTCGAGGCCAGACTGGTCTACAGAGCAAGTTCCAGGACAGCCAGGGCTGTTACACAGAGAAAGCCTGTCTTGAAAATAAATAAATAAAAAAGAATCATTATATAATATCTTCTTGTTGCTGTTGTCTTTGGTTTTGGGTTCTCTCTTTCTTTTCTTTTTGAGACAGAATTTCCTAAAGCCCTGGCTGGCTTTGAAACCCTGAATCTTGTGTCACTGTAACCAAGCTTAAGAGTTTTTTATGTTGTTGTTTTGTTTGCTTTTTATGTGCATTAGTGTCTTGCCTGCATGTATGTTTGTGTGAGAATGTAGGATGAAGTTACAATTGTGAACTGCCATGTGGATGCTGGGAATTGAACTCAGGTCCTCTGGAAGAGCAGTCAGTGCTCTAACCACTGACGTATCTCTCCAGTTTTTTGTTTTTATTTTTCAAGTTAACATGTAGGATTGTGGGTTGATTCATGACCATCAATACAAACAAACAAAGAAATGGAGCTCAGAGACACACCCCAAACTCCTCCTACCAGGGAACCCTCTCAAGTGCTTTCTCACACAGATAAGCCAATGCTGGACTTAGTGCTTTGTAACGGGAACAGACACGAGGCTGTTATCTAGTTGTGTTATCTGTCTGTGCTATAGCTAAGACATGAAGGTCCGCCACCAGCTCCCTAAGCTGGCTGTGAATACTTGGTGCCCAAATGATGTTCCTTTTCAGATCCATACAAACGGGTCGAAATTTAAACATTTTCCTCCTCTAGAAATTATACGTGGCTCCAAGTGGGAACACCCCACACCTAAGGCCTCAGATTTAAACCATCATTAGAACAGGGAGCCATGTTGGGCTTTCGGGTGCATAAGACAAGAAATCTTTCCCTTCTCTCTCTCACTACTGTGGCCCAGCATCTTGTCCTATAGATGGAGAGAGCCTGATCTCCAGCATCCAAAACCCCTGGTGAAATCAGTGTTACAGCAAGCAAAAACCGTGTTTATCTTTTCAAGAATGAAATCCTTATCTCTGCATTATGTTCTTCCTGGCGTCTTCATTTGAGGGTCCTTGTGGAAAGATCAAAACCAAGTCAGAACACAACACACCCATTTTGCATATTATTTTTCTTTCCTTGGCAACAACACGCCAGGAAGAGTAGATTGCCTTTGTAGAATATCTGCAGCGTGTTCAAGAAATAACAGAGAAGAGGCGAATATGTGCAAGAAGGACAAAACAGCAGCATTTAAAACATGCAACTTCAGAACTGGATTGACGGCATTCAGAGAGTAGACAGTCTTCCTTTAAAAAGCTCCCCCCAGTTAAGGGAGCCTAGCCCTGAGCGTGGGCAGCACCTTTTCCCTTTGCTGCCTCATCCTACTGTTACCTATTACCTAGGGGTTTGGCTAGCCTTGGAACACCAACGACCACATCGTAAGGAATTAGTAAATTATATTGGTTCAGTACATTAAATTTGAATATAATCTTCAGTTTATTCCTATTATTGAAGATTCAAAGTTCATTTTTCTGAGCTATATTGTTTAGAATCCAACTTAAAGACTGGCCCTGTCTTCTGTATCCTTCCTTCTACAACCTGTTCCCTGACCATATTTCAGTGTTCATTAATCTCTCCCTCCATAAGAGGGATGGGCAGCGTACACAGGTACACACACACAGATATTTTAATAGAATCAATTTGGTTACTTGCTACTACTGTCTCTGATATGCACAAAAAAGTATCAATTTGACTGAGATGACATAACAAAATTTTGAAAAAAAAATATTTTTGATTGCCCATGATCTAGCAATTACTGTCATGAAAAAATTTAATTAGTTCTCTATTTGTTAAATTTTATAAAGAATATTTAACGATCAAAAGAAAAATTTGGTTTTATAATGGAAAGCATAAACACACCAAACTCATGCACTAAATGTCTATGAAATGTCATCAATTGAGAAGAATTAATTCCCAAAGAATCCAGAGCTAAAACGATGCACCAGGTACATTTTAAAATGGAGAATAATATAAAACAGGGAATTGTTTTTACTTCACAGATTTAAACCTCTTTACTCACACAATGATGGAAAGGTCATCTAGGAGAGTATGTGTGACAGAAATGTCTATGGGTATTTTCAGAAGTAACGCCTGAACTCTAATGGTTACTTCATAATCAGTGATGTAATAGTCAGGAGAACAAAGAGGAGTGCATAGCTACGATGGACTTCCCAGTTCAGTTTGCTCTTAAAAGAGGTGACATTAGGCAAACACTGCTACTTTCAGAACCTGAACAAAATGAAAAATTGCTGCATTATGGAGAACAGAATATTTTAGCAATAAATATGCTGGAAGGTATATTTTATTCAGCTGATCAACTTCGGAGAACTCAAGTCTTGAGCACAACCAGGTTAAATAACACATTTACACCTGCAATATTTCATTCCATATATAATCTATACTATCAGAAGCCACACTTGCATCTAGACTCTACAAAAGAGAGGAAATGAAATGGGTCGGCGGACAAACCTCTGAGCACGGTATAAACAAGATACAGGCATTGGGCATAATCATCCTGAAGTTCAAGGAAAGAGATAAACAGATTCTAGGAGATACGATTTCTACACATTTCACACACTCTTTCTCTCCAGACGGCTAAAAGGTAGTGAGAAAGGCACGCATGTGTTTCAGAATAAATAAAGACATTTAACAACCTGACATTGTCACTCTCTCAAGACAGAACCTATTAATCAGAGAATCCTGATGCTTTTTAGTTGTTTTTATTTTATTTGGCAAATAATACGTTTCAAGGTATAATTCCTCCCACTTTCTCTCTGAACTGAGGGCATCCCCTATTATCTCCACAAACAACTAAATGTTTACAGAGACCAGTTAAACCAATGTCATATTGTGACATATTTTGTTCCTAGCAGGCTTGGGGCCTAAATCCCATATTCTGTAATCAGATAACTCTCAAGAACAAAGATGTAACCCATCCTTACATGTGTGCACATCGATATTTTTAACTTAAAAGTAGGTGTGTAATATTCTTTAAAAAAATCTTAGTTCCAAAAATATTTGCTTAGAAAAACAAACAACAACGCTATCTATAAATTCAATTCAAGGAGCAGCTCAAAACAAAACGGGCAAGACAAGGTACTAGAACATCTTCAAGACAGGCTCAGAATAGGTATTTGAGAATTCCCTTGATTCAAAATGAAATTCAACTTTTACAATGTCCAAGGAACTAATACTCAAATGTTTTGTTAAGGTGAAAGGGTTCTAATGGGCATGGTTTTGTAATATAAGAAAAATATAAATATCAAATGCTGGTGAGGATAGAGAGGGTAAACGCCAGCTTTTTTATTAAAGAATCTGGTGGAGATAATAAATCAGCTCAGATCAAACACAACTGCCAACTGCATGCTTGCCCATAATGTCCTCCGAATTGGATGTGACGACATGTCTGCTCTCACCATGGTGCACAGTGCACAGAAAACGCTTAAATAATATAGCTGACCAAATTGAACTTTCTTTATGAAAATTAAAGGATAATAGATAAAATCTTGCCCCACCTTTTTTCTTCCTTTTTTCTTTTAGTAAAACTGACAAATTGTTGAGGAGCACTACAGCGCCACCAACACAGATCAATGCAGAACAAAAAAAAAAAAAAAAAAAAAGAATCTCCCACCGTGTGCAAAAAGAAGAAAACTAGAAAAATACCAAAAATTACAAAATGTCTCCCAAATGTACCTTTCCGGAGAAAACATAAGATAGATCTACAGAGATGAATCGACAAGGAGCTTTAGAGAAATCGCATCCTAGACCACAAGTTAGATCCGCTCAGCAATAAAAGAGCCACTATTTAGCAACAGCCATAACTTAAACCCGGTTATGTCAATCTCCACCTTCACTATACCAGATCTGCTTTCTGTAGTTTGTATTCAAGTACTCCATCAAGGGGATCACAATAGGTCTATTAAAAAAAATAAAAACTACAACGGTAGTTTGCTTGTTGATAATTTACTCTGTACAAATTAGGCAATAGATAATTTTTATAAAGAGGATATGTACATATTTGGTACTACCAACATTGCTGGCACACAAAAAAGTCCATCTTGAAACATCTGAGTTCCCCTGTAGTTTACAGCAATTAAAGTATAATTTTCATTATATATGTTTATCTCTAACAATGGAGAAAAAAAAAACTGTTGTTTTTTTTTTTTTTTGGTAAAATTAACCAGGCAGAATTACGTGGAACGTGCACAGATCGAAGCTAAAGAAAAATACAAAGATTGGTTTTGTGAGAAGAAACACAATGAAAATCTCTTATCTGGTTCTCCTTTCAAAGAAGTAACACCAAGAATGTTTAAAATTATAAACTTACCATCAGTGTAGGCAAAGCAGCAACCAGCCCTCAAAAAAAAATTGTAACAATATAGGCTGGGGACTGGGTTGTCCAGAAAAAACAGCCTCCGGGTAGCGTACGGATCTTCAAACATCCTGAAAATATTTGGTAAATCAAAAGTGAGACTTTCCTCCATGGAGGGCGGCGGAGCGGGGCGGGCAGCCGCAGGATCCGAGGGCGTTCGAGGGACTGGAGCAAGCAGGAGGATGCGGAGCGGGCGGCGGCGGGAGGCTCGGGGTTAACAACTTTGCGCTGGCGGGCGGGCGCGCGCGCTGATTGGCTGGCGGCCGCCCAGCTCGCTCCTCGCTCCCGCCTCCCGCACCTCGGAAAGAATGCACGACTGTGCCATTTTACCGGGCTCGGGAGAGCGCCGCCACCCGGGCCCGAGTCGGGGCTCGGGATTAAGTGACAAGCACAACAATGGCAGCGGCCGCGTCCTCGGAGCATCTGGGCACGCCCTTACGCCCCGCGCGTGGGGAGGCTCCACGCGAGACGGCGTCCGTGGGGGATGTGCATGCGGACGCGGCCATTTGGAAGAGAAGCCCGTCTGAGTGTGCTCTGTGTGACTTCCCCTAGGGCCTCCTGCAGCCACGAGCACCACGGTCCCTGCATTAAGTAGCCGAATCCTGACCTAAGTTGAAACCATATTCAGCTTCCCTCGTCCCCTACCCCATTTCAACACGGCTTCCAAACCCCTTCCTGGCCAGCCCAGTTCTACTGCTCCGCCTTACAAACAAAATGGCTGAGGTGCCCAGTTTTTTTGGATCCTTCCACCCGGCCTCCAGGAAGTGGTAAAAATTCAAAATAAATACAGCACTAAAGTACACCCTTGAATCTGAACTCCGGACCACCCTTTGGTGTGGGTTCTTGCGGGGTGTCTAGGAAACGCGCCGCTTTCTTGTTCTTTTTAAAAATTCTTTTAATTGTTTTGAAAAGAACATCAATCATTAGGGATTTACTTGACTGTAATTTGAACTTCCTGCTTTACATATTTATAAGGTTTTTCACCTATCTTGGCAGGCTTTCAAATTAAGTGGGCTGGGAAACTTGATTCTCTTCGGTTGTGAGTGGAGTAGGGTTGCTGCAAACAGTCTTTTCTAATAAAGACAGTTTGAAAAACTAAACATAAAAATGTTAGAGGAATCCAACACTTGTAATTGCAAATTTAAAGTCCCAAAGTCAGCTAATACTTATATGTGAACTGAACGTGTTCACTGTACAATTCTTTGCCAACTAAATTTCTAATGAGTCAAGAGATGAAAGAAAGAAAGAAAGAAAAACACTAAAGCATGAAAAAATGTCTAAGAATTGCCTACATTCTTCAAGACCACGCCCACCCCCGCAAAGGTCTGTATGCTTGGCTAGTGTTAAGAGGTTTTTAAAAAAAACTATAGCAAGGGTTACTGTGTTACTTATTGTCTACAAGACTCTGAGAATGAGAGAACAAATACTATTAATTATAAGACGATTAGAATAAGCAGGGCCTACCTTCAGTAAACCAGAAGGTTGATAACACTAGAATTTTGTCAGACAGGTAGTGACCACAGGCATGGGGCTCATTTAATAAGAGTATGAGCACTCTCTCTGGCTTCTAGATTTTGCCCCTGTTCTACAGTTAACTGAAGTAAATAACTGGAGTAGGCCTGGATCCACATATATTTAATGAGAAGTCATGGTAAGAAAATATCTAAAGAGGAGTAAATGCTGATATAAGTATACAGGTAGGTCCTTTTTACTACCTGTAGGCTAGACTACTCTGAGCACTTTGTTAGGTATGCATATTTTAAATTATAAACTTTCTGATGAAATAGCAAAATGAAAGATAAAATATAGACAAGTTCTCAGAAAAGAATGGAAGAAAAGCAACCTTGAGTTTGTTATAGTTCTGAGGAGCTCAGCATTTGCTGGACACAGTGGTTGCTGTTCATAGATATCAATGAATAAGCATGTGGTTTATCTCCGATCTCATGGAACTTATAATCCAGAGGCAAACAGACAAGTGGCAAGCTAACAAATACATAATTAAAAATGTTGGTGAGCACATCTACAAAACACTGCAGCAGCACAGAGAACGCATCAGCGAGGACACACAGAGGCGCCTCTTAGCAGATGACATTGATGGTAGACGTGAAAGATGGGAAGCTAGGAAATTACTTGGGAAATAGCAGCACGATTTATACTAAGTCACCGAGGCAGATGCCAGGGGCCCGTTCTACAAGAGACATGGAGGCCAGAACCCAGAATATACCTAAAGAAAAGGAAATGGTTATATTTGGTCAGAGGTTCTTATAGGATTGAAGTTAAGAGTGAATGAAAAAAATAAAAATAAAAAAGGACATGTCTGCTCCAAGGTATGGTGAAGGAGAAAGTTTACTGTAGATAAGAATACACAGCCAGAGACAGGCACATCGGGGAGAGTCCAGAGTGGAACTGGCCCTGAGTCCTGTGAGGAGAGACGGGAGAGGAAGGGAGAGTGGGGACCTGAAGGCGTAAGTCATAAACAATGCCACACCAGTTTGGAATTATGATTAATAGGGTGGTATTTATTTAAAGGGGGAAAAACATACAGATCACCATCAGCCCTCTGCGCAACCAGGAAGGGAGTCTAGTCGCCGGTGGAGCAGGAAGTGAAGAGAGAGAGGAGAGGGAAGTGGCCGCTTTTTTAAAGGGAGAGAGACCACGACCCAATGGGCTGGTATCCCAGCAGCGATAGGCTGGAGGAGTGAGAGGACCTCCCGTAACACCTCCCCCTTTGGTTTAAATAAGAGAGTTCTAAACCTACTATGAAATTATATACAATAAGTACAAATATCCTATTCTAACTAGCTTAGGTCTTGTATAATAAATAACTTGGCCAAGTCATGAGAGAAAGTAACTACATTTATATAGTCTTCAACCCCATCGAAGATCTGAGAAGGGAAATAATGTTACCTGGGTAATTAGGAAGATCAGTAAAACAACTTCCAAAACATGCAACAAATCACAGAGACAACTAGCTACCTAGGCAATCACCCAAAGTCACGTTAGCAGCGTTGAAGCAACCAACTTTGGCTAAGGCCTAAAATAACTGACATACCATTTTCAAAGGCAAGCAACTTTTCAAAACTATCTTACCCTGTCTTGGCAGGATATGACAGCCCTGTTTTATCCATTGATGCATGCTCTGTATCTTTGTCAGTGGTTGAGGTATGGGCATTTCTTTGCCCCAAGGCCAGTTCTGCCAAAAAGAAAGGCTCCAGGTGAAGTGTCTTTGGTGCTCAACATTCTCTCGGGAATAGAGTGGTGTTGCCAGGAACAATTGTGTCTCACTACCACAAAACTCTGAGTTAGATTAAAGGCCATTTTCTACAGCTCTTTGAAGAAGTTGAAGATTATCTATCTATACTGAGTATAATATCTATATATCTAAAGAACTGATTAGTCTATTATAAATGACAAACTTAGATGACTATTAGTCTATATAATTCTCAATATCTATCTAACTTAAAGACTAAGACAATAAACGACTGTGAAACAAATGAGGACAATGACCTCCAAATATAAACAATGTACAAATATACATTGCAGTAGGTAAATATATATCAATACACAAACATTATATAAGTATCTTAATCAGAGGTAGAAATGTACACTGCAATATGGTAAATATATACAATATATATATCAATACAATATATGTCAATACATAAAAATGTTTTAAACAGAGGTAGAAACATGCATGCATACAATAGTCAATATAATACATAAAAATGTTTTAAACAGAGGTAGAAACATGCATGCATACAATAGTCAATATAATTTAACTTTGTATCAATATACAAGAATCTATGCCAATATATTTGTCTAAAAACAGTAACTCACAATTACAAATCTATTATCCCATCATCCCTCTTTTTTTTTTCAAAATGATCCCTGAGCTTATAAAATTCCTCCCCCAACCCTCAATCATATACTAATTATAATCAACCCCTAAATGATGTCCCTAAACCCAAGGGCAAACTTTACTGGCAGAGGGGACATCGTCCTCTAGAATTACTTCCAGCTGTCATGGGGGCGATGTTCTTTCTGGGGGATCCTGTGAAAGTAAAATGATGGTTAAATTTCAAGATCAATGTCTTTTAAAATTGCCAATAGTCTCTGAGTATTTTGTGCAGGTCTGGCCAAAATGTTGTATAAGATGTGCACCATTTCAGCTAACCAAGTTGGAACTGTCTTGTGCAGCTGGTACCCAAAACAGGTCTTGTAGTAGCACTATCAGTATCATGACGTCATAACAACCAGGTGGAGTTGTTGTTATGGGGCCCCATCTTCTTTCTGGAAACTTCAAATGTCACTTCAGGAAAAACTCATTGTTCATTATGAAAAACTTAAACATTAATCATATAGACATATATATATTCAATGAAAGACATGATAGATATATTCAATGAAAAGTATGATAGATATGAAGAAAAGCAAAGATGTTTTCTAAACTCATATTTCTTTCTGTCCCATATCATGGCTCTTGACATGAGACAGAAACTCCAGAAACTCTGGGTTTTTCTCTTACTAACAGGCTTGGAATTGGAGAGGGACTGAGCCAGAGTCCAACTTCAAAACCAGCTTTATAAATTTAGAAATATGGTTTAATATTACTTACACAACCCATTCAGTTTTCTTGGTATTTCCTATTGGGCAGGTATTTTTCCATCTGTCAGTATCCAAACATCCAGGGTCCCTTTAATTTCTCAAAGATGAGTGTTTTCCTGTGGAGATAAGAACAGAACCCTGCCCCCATACTATATGTTTTTCTTACCACCTGTATGAATATCATCATTGTGGATGAGTTGTCATTTCTCCTTTCCAAGAGGTTTCTCCTCTTCAAATTGAAACTTTATTAATTTTGATGGTATCCACAATTTTTCTTCTCCCGTGGAAACAAGAGCAAAACCCCTTCCCCAACATAGCACATCTCCTGGCTTCCACTGAGAAGTCAGCACGTCTTTGAAATAAATCGGTTGATTTAGATCAGCAGACTTTTCCATTATCCAATGTCTTTCTGCTGCTGTCTTTCCTTTCTCACTAGCGTTAGGAAAATTCAAGGTTAATAAAGCATTATGTAATCTATTTCTGGGGGTATTTTTGGTCCCTTTCTGTTTGTTCAGCATATCCTTTATAGTACGATTTGATCTTTCTATAACTGCCTGACCTGTAGGATTATTTGGTATACCTGTAATGTGTTTTGTATTATAATAATCAAAAAAGCATTCCATTTTCTTAGATACATATGCTGGACCATTATCTGTCTTTATTTGCGCAGGTATACCCATGATGGCCATAACTTCCAATAAATGTGTGATTACTGAATCAGCCTTTTCTGAGCTCAGGGCAGTAGCCCATTGAAAACCTGAATACGTGTCTATGGTGTGGTGTACATATTTTAATTTACCAAATTCCATAAAGTGGAACACATCCATCTGCCAGAGTTCATTTCTCTTAGTACCCTTTGGGTTACTCCCTGCAGGCAACGGTGTTTGATTATAGAAAGAACAAGTAGGACATCTCTTTATAATGTCCTTAGCTTGTTGCCAAGTAATGGAAAATTCTTTCTTTAGGCCTTTACTATTGACATGATGTTTCTTATGAAATTCTGAGGCCTGCAACACACTTCCAATCAACAATTGATCAATCTCAGCGTTGCCTTGGGCTAGAGGACC